TTGATTAGAAGTTAATAAATATGATTAATTAATTTTAATTAATTTTAATTAATGATAAGTTAGTCATTCAATTGAACTAATTATCATAATTAAGTAATTTTAAATCTTCTGTTTGCCTTAATCTTGTTTTTTTTTAAAAAAAAGAAAATCAAAAGTTATCTCTTTTATTTCAATTTCACACAAAACTTTCATGTTTAAGCACTTTAGTCCAAAAGTTTCAAATCTTTTCAAATCAGTTCCTTTAATTTTTACTTGTATTCATTGTGCATGCATGTCTTTGATTTCGTCCATTTTAGTCCAAAATGTTAAAAATGTTGCAATTTGTTTTATCTTTTTTTTTTTTCAAGTTTGCTTTTTAAGACTCAAACATAAACATAATAAATAAGTTGAATTAAAACCCCAATTTTAAAGTATGCAACCGTGTTTAAACGGAGGATTGTGAGGTGCACGTATGTCTTTCTTCACTCTTAATCGAACCTCTAAACCCCGATCTCTGCGTAGACCCGTTTTAGGTGACTTGTCCCACCTTATAATTTGGACAAGTGACAACTCTCTTTTCTTTTATATTTTTCACACTTAATAATGACAAAATAAAATTTTCATTTATTTTGAAGTGGTCATCAACACCAGGCTAACAATGGCAAAGCAAGAAAGAACAAATGAAACAAAAAAGGAAGAAACCCAAATCAAAGTAATAGATCAAATGAAAATAGCAAAAAAGGAAACATGCAAAACAACAAAAAGTAAATGTTAGAATCTTAGCCTTTGAGTAACACAAAAAAATTTGATCTTCTAAGGAACCCATTGCTCACTCAATTATTGTGGGAAAGAAGATCTGAAGAGGAAAAAAGTGAAAGACTAAAAGGGATAAAAGTCATTCCTCGCTTAATCATCATGCAATAGTGGGGAACCCAGATCTAGTTCAAGTGAAGGAGAGGAAAAACTAAGATCTAGTTTTGGCGGAGGAGAGTAGGAGGAAAAAGACTTTTGGGTTGGTGGAGAAGAGGTGGAGAGATTTGGTTTAGGCAGAGGAGAGAGGAGATGAAAGAATGGAGACTTGGAGAGGATAGGAGAGAAGAGGAGGAGGGAAGTTGAAGACGAAGTTTTGAGGGCAAGTGTGTAATTTCAACTTTTATAATTATTTTTATATTTAACTAATATGAGATACCATGTCATCATTATATATAATATTTAATATACTTCAGGTGCCATATCATCATTTTTTATAGAGTAGACTTTCCATGTCATTTATTTAAAGAATATATCCACCCATTTTAGTTCTTGCACTACGATGAAAAAGCTCTTTTTTGGTCCCTAAACTTGAAGAAGTTAGTCCTAAAGTTTTTTTTTTTTTTTTTAGCCCCTTCATCTTGCTATTTGTTGCATGCAACGTGTAAATTAAATGCCATGCAAGCCATTAAACAAACGGTGTCAGGACCTTAGTTATCAAAGGGGCTAATTTGCATCAATACTCGGGTTGAAGAGCTTATTTGATCTTTTTTTAGTTCAAGGGCTGGTCACTTGTTGGAAAAGTTAAGGGGCTTGAATGGGGTTTTGCATTTTGTATGTTAGTGTTTCGCATAGGTCTTTTTTATATAATATTTTATGTAGGAAAGTCAGTTTACCATTTCTAATTAATTTTATTTAATTTTAATATATTTTTATTAATTTTAATTAACATTCTGATATTAATGTTTATTAGTTAAATTTTTAAAAATTTAAAAAATTTAAATTTTGTCATTTCAATAAAATATCATAAGAAAAAATTAAAATGATATCATTCCTACTTTAAAATATGTTAATTTAGACTTCCTTTAATATGATTTTGAGTTTTAAATTTTTTGTTTTTTATATTTGGTAACTATTATTATATTAAAAATTTTAAATTTATTATAAAAATTTAAATATATTAAATTTAATTTAAATATAATACTAATTATTAAATATATAAAAAATAAAAACGAGAAACTCAATATCAACAACTAATAGAGTTTTAGTTTTTTTTTTTAATGAGAATTCATTGAAATGACTTAATTTTAGATATTTTTCTTTTTTAATTTGTTTAGAAATTAAATTTGTAAACACTTTTCTTTAATAGTTTATATTTCTTCTATTCATTTTTAGTAGATTTAATTTAACTTTT